CAATATGCGTTTTTGCTGCCTGTTGCAGCGCTCTAGCGCTGCACGGCAAAAACGCATAACTAGGAAATTTCAAAACTGATAGAGATTAGCTTTTCTGATACTGCTTTGAGTGATCCATTCTCGCCTCCTTGGTCTCTCACTCATCTACCTCCATAGCTGCAAAATTTCCCTCATTCACTGCTGGATCCAAAAAAAAAAAAAAACCATTTCAAAACAGTAGGGATAGGAAGAGTGGGAGTTTTTTGGACCATATGGAAACGAAGCGATAGGAAGGGATGGAGCGAGACGATCATCAGAAAATCTTTAAAAAAAAAAAAAAAACGCATGAAAATGGCAGTTACTGAACCAATGCGATGAAGCTTAGCGGATTAATACAAATCTAGCTATAAGAGGTAATTGCTGGCTTCAGCTTTTTTCTCTACTCTGAAGCCAAGACTTGAGTAAGCTGATTTAGGTTATTTGCTGGATCAGGATCCATGAACAATTTCTTTTTTGGCCATATACATGGCTCTAAATGAAAGGAATTTATGGGTTTAAAAAAAAATGGACATTTGAAATAATGTCCCCGAAACTCACAGTTTCACCGCTGCATTCCAAAACAGCGAAAATAGTAAGGATAAAGGCTTCAAGCACAATTATTGCCGAATTTTTTTTTCTCTCTTAGAACAGCCCATGGAGCAGACTGAACTTGAACTTCAGGGCAGTAAAGAAAACGAATGAACCTACCATCAAAACGGATAAGAGCCGGCGGACGGCAAAGCTCCCTGTGGAATGCTAAAATAACATTTCTGTAAATTTGTACAATTTTTTAAGGGAACAGCGTCATGTGTCCAGCGTGTTGGAGCACGTCCGTGTCATCATTAGGGTGGCGCCTCAACATCAACTGTCCAGAAATTTCAGGCAGTAAGCTTTGTAAGACTGAAATATTAGAAACATCCAAAAGTTAAAATTTCCATACCAGCATTCCTTTGTTGTTCTCTAAAAAATTCTGAAAAAAAAACTCACTTTTTAATTTCCACAAGAGAAACTGAAACGTTATCCTAAGAGTCGAAAGCCCACGGCCCGAAAGATGTCCACGAGGAAAAGTAGTCCCCCCATTAATTAGTTCAACAGCAAATGATACTGCTATGCTTCTACTGCTTCTAAAGCGCCTTTCAAGCTGTTTTTCTAAGGGAAGCTTTGAAGCAAGAAAGGTGGAAGTGAGGCAAGCTAATAAGTTGCGAGCAATTTTTTCCCTTGAAAATACGGTTAATTAAAACAATTTCACCCTATTTCCGTGTAAAAAATTTTCCCACAGCTGATCAATCAGAACAAATACTGCGGATTGGAATGTTAGTAAATCATTTTCGTTCCAAATGAACCAGCTCTCTCTTGCTGAATTCAAGTTCGCGAAGTGTACGATAGTGGTCCGCATCCGTGTAAACACGTTTCGGATAGTCCAGTACCAGCTGATGGTCCGATGGATAAAATCCAAGACTGGCCACGAAGATGAAAACAGCCTGCAAAGCAATATTCTTCCCGTGGAAAAACTGCTTCAGATTATAAGATTAAAAAAATAGTTCTGCTTGTATTTTCATCGCGAGAACGTGAAATCCACATGTTTTCGCGGTTCAGACTGGTCATTACTTCAGAAATTATGGTTCAGCTTACCAACGGTCGCGAAAATAAATTAATAAATTTTTTATTAATTTAATCCCCCTTCAGCCGCCCCAATCGAACCATTCACTTCTGAATCGGCCTTCAAATGGACGTTACTTATCGTTCTACAAAAATCGTTCCCAACTGTTTTTCTGATTTTTGCAAAAATTCGTCCCACTGATGAGAAGACACATTAAACCGATACACTCAGTATTCAAAACGAAAACCTTAAGCGTTGTTGTATCTTCCATCTCCAAAAACTGACGACTGCCATCAGGAAGTCGCAACAACAGAGCAATTCGAGATCCGCGACCATCCGGAGCACCAGTCCACTTTAGCCACTCATCCCGATCAACAGTCGTGAGTCTACTGCCACTGTCAACGATACTGTCAATATCTGGCGCAACATCATCTTGAAAAAGAGAGAATTTTACAACTTTGAAAATTTCATGCTTAACTTGAAATTTATTTTTCCAAACTTTTCCTTTAAAATACAAGCGGCTTTCCGCTGTCTTCTTTCTCCAACCTTCACCCCTCCCCCTCCAAAAAAAGCGTAATTTTCATCATGCTAAAACGACTGTAACACACGTAGCAGTGTGCAATTCCATCAGGGCTGTCAATGCGGAATATCTGAAATTAGAAGAATGCCGTAATATATTAAGCACAGTTATTTTAGATAAACTTGTCCTTCACTATCATTGTCGTGAACGAAATCTCTTTTCAAAAACAGTCTCGGTCCAGGAGGGAATCGAACCATCCCCTTTGACATTCTGACGTGACGTGCTAAACCATTACACCATCAGTTCTTGTGCAGCACCTATATTCTGTATGCATGGCACTCTCCTGCAGAGTCTGTATCGTCTGGCTGCTGAATCGATCTTATGAATCACACTCTTTTAACAATGTCGGCTTTTCGTGGGACTTCCGTGACAATTATTAGCAGCGACCTCCAGCCATGTATAATACATGCATGTCCTCAATTCAGCGGTTACCCGAGTAATTGTTCATTTCTATCATTATGATGAAACAATGTACAAAAGAATGTAACAAGCAGCAAA